AGTAAACACAATTAGAGACGGTACACCAGATAGACGTCTGCACTTGTTTCCTGCCCTTCCACTGAATCTCAGTAAAAAAGCCCTTTGATAAAGTTAATTGGATGATTCTCTCATTCTGCTGGAATAAAAGAGCTCACAGAGGCACAAGAGCTGACTTCATTAGGCTGAAAGGTAATGAAGGACTTACTCTCCCAGGCACCATGTGGTCACATTCAGCACCACCAGTTCCCTCGGTTCCGCATGAGCAGTAACAATTGAGATGACATCGTATTTTACAGGGTCAGAGATGTCACTTCCCAAAACCAAAGTACAGTGACACTTTCCCAAATTACAATACAATGGGATGAGGCTGGCTGGCTGCTCTGGCAGGCTCTGGGATCTCTGCATTGCTGTACACACGGTCAGGGGAAGGCTTCCAGCAGCGAGCAGGGCTGCTCAAAGGCAGAAGCAGGGGCCAGGAAAGGTGAAAGCAGTGCTGGCTCCCTGTCCACTTCCTAACCTCTACCTGCCTTTATTTTGAAGCAGTGGATGGGGAGGAGCCATGCACATGACAGTGCAGTGGTTGTCCTTCATGCCCTTGCCCTGAGGCTCCCTGATCCCACTGCAGGTGCCCTCTGCCAAGGCTGTGGTACTAACCAGGACACGCTCCCCATCCTTGCTGCTCATAAAGAAATGGACAATTAAATACTGTGAAAAAAATAAATCAAAAGGAGATTTATTATCCAGTGAAGGGGGGGCTGAAAATGGCTTTTTTTTTTCTTCTCCTCCCTGTTCCAGGGGTTGCTTGTGCCATTCCCATGAGACACTGGACAAACAAAACCAATCCTGGGACCAGTAGCAGGAGAAAACACTACTTGGAGTCCTTCAATATTGGAGTCACTTCTCCAACAAATTCTGATCTGATCATACATCTAGAACCCAAATTAATCCTTTAACCATCAAGTCACATCCTGAGTTCATGTATAGCTGATCACATATATTTTTCAAAATATAACCAAGGCTTTATGAAAGACTCCCCAAAAATCTGCATTTTTTGTACCTAAGTGTAACTGATCCCAAGTTGGCCAAATTGAGGTGGGCTGTTAGTTTGCAAAATGTGTTTTAAGGGATTCAGGTAATTCTGCATCAGAGAGTTTCTTGCTCAAATTTACCACTGTCTCCCCCCTCTCATTTTTTGTATGAACTACAAATTGTATCAGTAATGAGTCTGTCTATCAAGTCACTGATAAAGTATGATATAGCAATGGAATGTTTTGTCTGCCTAGAAACAAAATTTTCCACTGGTGAGTCCCCATTTATTTTAGCAGTCAGGTTTTTATTCATTTAATAGGCTCCATGTTTATTCAGTACCATTCTCGTTTCTTAAATCAAAATGACTTGTGCTACTTTTCTGCATACATGACACCAACGCTATGACATTTCTCAACCAAATTTATAATCCATTTAAACCCCCAGATTTGTTCAATAAGAACCATTTACAATTAATTCCAGTCCAAATGAGTCTATTACAACAGCATCATTAACTATCCAACAAGAGCTATTTCAGTGTTTTGCTCAGGACTAATGTTTGACAAACCTGCACATTATCCTAATTGCAAACATCACAAATATTAACACAGTAATTGCTTTTTTGGTTGTCTTTTGGAACTTCATCTCTGCTCCAAGATTTATTCAAAATCAACATTAGGCAGACGAAAACTCTGTCAACTCATTCAAGAGTGTTTTATTAGAGTTGCTTAGATTTAATTTTAAAATATCTTGCTTTAACATTTTGGACATTTAAGTTATTAATGACACCTCTGTCATCTAAGATAAACATCTCACCAGCTTTTTCCCCACATAGAGAAAAGAATTTTTAATGCACACTTCTTTTCCAAGCTTTTGTTTATATTTTTATGACAATTCTGTCATTTCCATAAAGGAAAGGATCAATATTATTCTTCAAACTTCTTTTCTTCCTCCTCCTCCCTCCTCCATCTACAATTTGCTAGCTGGCTCCCCCGTGGACAAGTTTCTTCTTCTGTCATTTTCTTCTTTCTAATCATTCACAACTCTGAGCTTTAAGCTGAAAGCAATGGCTCTCAGTTTCCTATAATTTCCACACCTTGTCCTTTAACCTACATTTTGGATGAAAGATCTTTAAGCATTCAAGGTGTTAAGACCTGTAAAATTGATAGAGCAATTTGAGTACAGAGGGGCACTCATCCCTGACTGCTGAGTTGCCATACTGTACCAGAATTATTTCTGAATGATGCTCTCCATCACTTGTGATTTTCCAGGTCTCTAAACTTCCTCTCTTCCCATAATAAAAGTCAAAATACCTGCCACAGGCACATTTCTCCATCACACCATGCCCAAAACTTTTATACAAGATTCTTCACAGTATTATATTCTCCATCTTCAACAGAGAAGGGTGAAAACCATCCCTATCCTCTTCCTGCCATTAGTCATAAAGGAAAGAAGAACACATCATTTATAACAGCAGACATATTAATGAGAAGTGATTAAGGCTAAACTTCAGAAAATGTGTGTCACATTGCCACCACTGCCAAAAAATTCCTACATGAACCTGAACAAATAATTCTAGACTTGAATTTCCTAGCTGTGTAATGAGGATTGTTGTCACAGGATAATGATTGAGAGACACTTGCATGGTAAAGTGCTGAGGATCTCTGTGAAAAATGTTAATTCAGTTTCTAAAAGCCTTTCACAAAGAACAGGAGGATTAAATTAATGGCAGATCGGAAAGACAGGCTGAGAACTGCTCTTGTCTACCTTGATCTATAGCCCAGGCCACAGAAGAGTTAAGTGCAGGAAGAGAGACATCCCTGATGAATTGCCTGTCTCCAGCATGACAAGTGAATGGAAAAGCCCCACCACTGATGAAATACTGACTTTTAACAGACAAAAGTTACACACCATACTGTGATTTCAAACTTGGACTAAGAAAAACCCTCTCACTTGAAAGGGAAGAGTAACTTGGGGGTTTTTTTATGTATCGGCAGTAGGGCCTGGTAAGCTTGTATTTAGAATTAAATAAATACTGCATCGTTCACTAGCAGCAAAGATCCCATACTTCACATTGAGGAAAACAATATATAGGATGAGATGTGTGGCAATGGATTTTATTAGATGACCTCTTTCTTATCAAAATCTGGGCACTGCCAGCCTGTTTTTCATCACTTTGTTGCACGTGCTCAACAGAGCTCCAAGAACAGCGTTAGAAAAAACTCTTGGGTCTTACACACTCCACTGAAGAGGTCAGTTAAAAATGCAATTTCAGATGTTAAGCCCCAATTGCATGGTCATTCCAAAGTTAACTGCAGTTCCATAAGCAGAACTTGATCCAAATAGGGTGAAAAAAAAACAACCAGCATTTACTGACGCTACAAAAAGGGGCAACTACTGAAAGATTCTTCCAGTTCTCCCAAGACAAGCAATCATCGAGGTAAACTCCTAAGGCCAGTGAGAAGAAAAACATGGGATGCAGAAATGGTAGAGTGGAAGTCATTAAACAATACCACGTAATACTGCACATAAGCATGATTAGCTTTGGCACAATTTTTCCTCATGACTGAGATTCATGCAGCTTTCTCACCTTTCTTTGTGAAAAGGAGGTGATAAATGGAAAAAATCAAGTTTCAGCTAGAAACTCCTGCCTTCTTCCAGCATGACTTCCCCTTCCAAAAACATCACACTGTTCATTTTATTCAAACCCTCAAAACAGGCACCTTTTGGTAACACTGTGTATTTTAATTTCCCTGGCATCTGTGAGAGTTCCCCTGCATCAGTGACTCCTACGTCAGTCTTAAAAGGTCCAATGCAGAAAAGAACAAGGCCAGTGTTGTAAACACATTCAATTACTGATGGATTGCAGAAATTTTTTGAACATCTGTCCTTTGCTGAGAGGTGCAAAGGAATAGAAACTCGTGCTGTCAACACGAGTCAACAGAGCTCAGTTATTATTGTTATAGATGCAGATCAGCCTCACTGAGGAAGTATTTATTGCTTCTCCTGCCTTGAATTATAACTGCAGACTCTTTGACAAATGAGCCTGCAGGAGGTTTAGTCCCCATGGAGGTCCATAGCCTTGTAAATACTGTGACAAGTCCAACTGGCCTGCTGTGTAGCTAAAGATCAGCTTTTGGGGTTGTGCACTATTTGGAGGTGTATCCCTCTTTGCCAGGGTGGTAGGAGGCTTACATTTAGCAGACCAGCTTGTACTTCAACGCTCTGTGAAAATGAGGAGGCTGTGACCTGGAGATGACAGATCCCACCCACAGTTTTTTATTGCTTTGGAGATTGTGTAGGCACTGTATAACCATCCCTAATGCCATCCATTGAATATGCTCCCCTGATAATTTTTAAGGAAAGCAAACTCCGTGACTGTATTGGCTTAATTTAATAGCAGGCCATCAGAGAAACAAATCGATGCCTCCAGATGGATAACCTTGAGTTAATCCCACATCGAGGAGAAAACTTTCCACCTTGTTTGCGGGAAGACTCTACCACTACAGCTTCAGAAAATTTAGGCAGCTCATTTTGCCAGTGCCAAGGACAGATAGATCAAGGACACTGAGCACTTAAAGCCTCGGTAGACAGAGAGCAACCACCAGGAGGCAATTCCAGGAAAACCTGCCACAGATACCCATTTGGGCACTGTATTTCTGCAGCAACACCATAAACTTTGTTAGCTAACTATATTCCTGAGAATACAGGTATGCAACATCACTCCATTGATTTACAACAGTGTTACACACAACATCTGCAGTATTTACAAAATCACCAGCAGTTCTCATCCTTTACAGGTTATACTGCAAAAGCACTGCCATGGTAAGGCCTGCAAAAGTCACTGTATTTGATTTAGTGCATCACTCTCAACAGGTTAATGGTATGGCAGGGAAGATGAACACCCCAGGACTTTTTAAGCCTAATAAATTGAGTTTACCACCAAGGGATTCAACCACTACAAGGAAGGTGAAGCTTTGGGTATATCCTACCTTGCGAGAAGCATTTTTGTCTGCGCTCTCCACATCACCGTCCAAGAATGGCATGGCAAATGAGCTGAGATCCTGCAAGGACAGAGAAGAAAAACTGATGTCCTTTATTCATGTCTTCTTCCTTCCATCAGAGCATTCCATGACCGCAGCCCAGAGATCTATTTCCAAAGTGCCCACTGCTTCACCCACACCAATTGCTGGCAAGCAATAACACGGCCCCTGATTGTTCTCCGTGGCTGAAACCAATGGCAGATGTGAGTTACAAGTGAATAGGGAGCCCTTAGCAGTGCTTGCACTACATCATCATCTAAAACCACCTGCAGCCGAAGGAAAAAGTCCTGTGTTGAAACTTTCAAGGGGAGGTACCCAAATGCCACAGGAAAATTGTTAGGAAATTGCAGTTTAAATACAGTCACTTGCTCAGCAAATGCCTGCCTTGTCTTTAGTGGAATGTATGATCTTAAAGAGTATTTATGGCAACAAATACAACCTGAATGAGACTATGTTGATGTTCCCAGAAATACACAACATATATAACAAAGAGGGAGAAAACTGTGGCACGCTGCTCGGGGAGGAAATAACCAATTTACTTGCACAAGTGAGAGAGGAGCAGCCAATTCTGCAGGACTAAAGACAATAAAGCCATAAGAAAAGCACACATGCTCATCTTTAACTAACAAAAACAAACTGCAATTATATTCCACCTCCTGCCGTCTGTTCTGTTTATGCTGCTTCATGTTCCAGCCACAGGGTTTTTAGAGCTCCTTTCTACGTGCATAAGGAAATTATGTTAGTGTCAAGTTTAGCATCTGTTTGATCGGAAAAGTAGATAATGAGCAATTCTGTGACCAAAGGCATGAGGTTGCCTAATGCTGTGTGCTGAAGAATTGAGTCTTGGGTCCTAAATCATCTTCTAAATGTCAGGAATACCTTCCCAACACAGAACCTCCCACATGTGAGGCATCAGCCTTTCCATGTAATGATTCAGTGCTCCTTTACCACCACATCTGCATGCACTTAAAAGAGTTCAAAACATAAATAAATAGCAATTTCACATAAACCTAATTTGTGATCAAATAGAGCTTAATTAAAAATTAGCGCCGTCCGGGAAGTCTTCAGGGCTTGCTTGTCTTCAGAACTCAGAGAAGCCCCAGGTCTAATCACATCTCACTGTATAATCATAATAAATCCAAAATATGCTCAAAAATGTGTATAACTTAGGCATAATCCTTACAAGTGTTCGAAAATATTCTGGTTACATAATTGAACAACAAAAATAAGGAACAAAATATTGAATTACTGGAACTGAAACACATGGGAATAATTCATGCCAAGTTGAAAAGGAAAAAAAGAAAGCAGCAGCCAGGCTTGGCCAAGCTGGCCCCAAATCATTAGGCCCCAAACCAAAGTATTCATGGTAAATTCATCTGTTCCCAGCTCTATCCATGCACATTCAATAGGAACTATCTACAACAGCTCAACTACATAAAATCACCCTCATCGCCAAGCTTTGACATCTGTGCTTCACATCACCTTTGTTTGCAGCTAAAAACATAGGGAAACACCTCAAAACCAAAAGAAGAGGCAATTTTCTTGATTTAGATTTTCACTCTTATCAAGATTTGACTGAGGCTGAACCAGACACTACAGGACCTTACAGAAAAGCTTCTGTATTAATTTGCTTATTCTCATAATTATTTAGGATTAAAATTACTGACTCCATATAAAAATTAGCCATAAATAGCATTTATAAACACTGTCAATAAACAGATTATCATTATTATTATTATTATTATTATTACTTCATATGTTACTGAAGGACTTAAGTGAAGAATCTCTGTGAAGAAGTTAAAGAGCCTAATGGAAAGTTACACAAAAACATATCCCCTTGTGTTTACTTTAATTTAGCCAAAGGATTTACCATCATTTTCCTCTACCCATCTTCGGTAGTGCAGAAGCTGGAATCTGATGTATGCTAAGTCATTTTCCATGGAATAAATCAAGCAAAAAACCTCCTTGGAGCTCCATGTATTAGCGTCCCTATATTACTACTTAGTGTAACTTCCAGGGAGAAAACTGGCTATTTGGGAAGGCTGGAGACCAGATGGAAGAAACTGGGTTTAAGGGGACACATATCTTGTAATCAGGGTCAAAAAAGCTGTTCAGAAAATCTGGAACTGAGAGGAATGAAACCGTAAGTTCTGTTTTTGAGTAGAAACCTTTAAACCAGCAGGGGGTAGGTAGGTACAACTCTTTTTCTAGGAGCTAAATTTCAGTTCTCAGTTACAATTCCAAGCAAAAAACCACACATATATATATATATATATATATTCTAAAGTCTAAAAGTATCATGAAACCCATCTGATGACTCTATTCTAATTTGTAACTCTCAGGTATCATGGAGGTATGCTAACTTCATCTGTCTCCACATCCAGAACAGATGTAAGCAGAAATAACTGGAGCCAGAGCTTTCTGGGCAGCATGAGATCTTTCTTTGTTAATACGGGGCTGAAGAACGTTTTAAATTGGACAATAGTTGTACTTTTAGTCCTGTGATAAAGTCTGTAATTGTAGCTGCTACCTAACAATTTTTTAATTTTTCACTTCTTCACAGGATTCTATATGTGAAGGCATTCATTTACAGAAGGAAAAAATACATATATCAAGTGCCAGGCTTCAAATAGTGCTGTCTCAATTCCAACCTGGTGGTGAAGCAAGGATTTATTAGATGCTTATTCTCCCTTTACACGTATCTCTGCAGAATATAGACAGATATCAATTTGTTTCTAACGTTCCTCGTCATCCAGAAGCACACATGATGATGCAGTTGATGATACAGTAACTCGTAAAAAAAATAAAAATAAAAACTGCTCCAAAAGTGTTGCAAAACACCACAGAACTCTTGACAGGCCAGTGGTGCAGCCCTTGCCCTTGTCACAGATCTGACTGCTCTGATCTTATGCCAACAGATACACACTGAAGGCTCCCTCTGCCCTTAACCAGGAATTGAAACCGTTCTTAGACAGCTGTCTTGCTCTCTAGCTCTGCTGTGCTGCACTTGGAATAAGCACCCTGGACAACCACATGGTTCTGGAGAGACCTTTAAAACTTTCAGCAAAGGCAGCCAGTGGTGTCCTGGTATGAGGAAGAATCCTTCAGGCTGCAGAGCCCTGGCTGAAGAACAAACGGCGTCACGCCCTGTGCCCACCACTCCTGCACTATATCCTTGGACAGACAACTTCCACAGATACCACAGTCTGTGATCACCCCTGTAAGGAGCAAAGGCAGCTCTTGGTGCTGTTAACCTGGAATTAAGAGTATGAAAAGTCTGTTTTGCAAAGTTTTGTCAGCTTTCCTGCCACGCTTGTGCTCCCCAGTCAGTCCTTTCATCACTCAGCACCACCTGACAGCCAGACACCACTCCTGCCACTCCAGCTACAAAAAATGACCTCTTGAGCAGTTTAGATTCACTTTACAGCCACAAAGCCGCTGCAGATTTATTTTGTTTTCAATCTACTTTTATTTACAAGAGGTTGTCATGGCAGCTCCTGTTATATTTGCTGAAGAATACGGCCCCAGGGATAGCAAAGATTTTTCTGGAGGACGGCAGAGCTGTGACACAGCAGAACCAGGGCTCAGTGCTCCTGCCGCCAGTCAGGCTCCCTCCTGGAGAGGGAAATCTCCCACAACACCTACTCAACAGGTGATTTCCCAGTGCAAGTCAGGATTATTCTGTCTGCATTTACACTCACCTTCTCTACCACTTCTTTCCCTATTTCCTCTGGAGGAACAGCAGATATCTGGAAGGTTACAGATCCTCCACCCTAATTTCTCCACCAAAGGTGAGACTAACTCTAGGGTGATTCTGGTCTGGGTCACCTGTACATCTAGAGGGTGATCCTTCTTAAATCCAAACCTTTTTCCTTTGACATCCCTTATATCAGAATAGTTGGGATGGTGTGAATAGAAGGAAAAATAAAATTCTTGTTCTTTGATATCCTGGTAAAACAAAGAAGCTTTTCTCAGAACTGTTCTGGAAAATAGGAAGGAAAACCACATTTGAGGATGCAGAAAGCAAATACGCTGGCTGGCACAGCATAGCCAAATAGCAACAGGAACAAGATCTGGTTAGCCAAGCCATTTTTCACCTTTTCCAGTCAGTTCCACTGTTCTTTTCCTTACTTACAGGGAGAATTCCCTGGAATTCTTACAGGGAGAGTTCCTGCCAAAAAGCTTGCCCAGACACTCTGGTCTGGAGGCTGCTGCAGTTGGAGACCTTGGTGTCAGAAAAGGGCTTCCAGCAATTCTGCTGCAGAGGCTGCAGACTTAAATAACAGATCACCAAAGCCTTGAATCTAGTAAAAAACACAGGATAAACAGGATTCCTGTTTTACTATTGTTTTACTTCAAGGCTACTTTGGCAGCCAGGCTGATAAATTTTCTACACAACATCTGAAGCCAAGGGGCCAGCAAGGTACCCTGGGGCACACTGCAACTGCCAGGCCAGAGATAATTTCCAATGTATTTTGGGTGGAAGTAGGACCTTCCTGTGGCCCTGCTCATCAGCGGCTGGGTATCAGAGTATTTCACAACCAGCTTTGGAAATGTCCATTCAAACACAAGGCATGACCATGAACAACAGGCTGATGTGAAATCTTTGCCCATGGTGGTGGGTGCCCGTGAATATTGTCAGCTTTTGCACCATGTTTCTGAGGTGACTCAGGTCAGAAGAGCTTCCTGGTAGCCCCACAGCCCATCTCTGGTGAAAGGCTGGGTTCCTCAGCTACAAGCAATTTCAGAGTCCCAGCGTGGGTAGCATCATGCAGTCCTGACTCCTGATGGTGTCACCTCTGAGATGTTATTTTTCTGCTTCACTCAGTTCTATATATGTGCTAGGATTGCACCAAATTTAAGGATGTGAAATGCCTGCCAGACATTACAGTTTCTTTTTACAACATAACTCAAGCAGAAGGTGACACTTTACTAAGACAGCTTTTCAATAAGGGGAGACAGCTACTTTAATAAAATAAACGAAGAAAACAACATACAGAGAAATTAAGCTGAGTGCTGAC